TAATTAAACTCAAAATTGACAATATTATAATACATTTTTGAACTCTTTTGGATTAATTTTTTTTCCTAATTTTTTATAAAGTTAATTTTAATATTTAAAAGTATTTAACATTTTGATATAATGAGCATGATAATATAATGATAGAATTTACAAAAATGTAGAATTGAGAATTTTTAAATCTTTTTCTAATATTTATTTTTAAAAATATAATATTTTTTTTTAATTTAATATTTATTTTTTCAAATATATAAATATATAAAGATATAAATGTATAAGGATATAAATAAATATATAAATATATCAAAATATAAATATATAAAAATATAAATATATAAATATAAGTTTCTTGCAAAACTTTTCAAGTTATTTTAACTGATAAAAATAAGTTTTAATCGATTAAAAGGTCATGCAGAAATTATTTTAATCGATTGAAATGAGATTTAATCGATTAAAAGTGTTATGATCGGTCATAATTGCATTCTGACCGATCATAATTGAAACCATATAATAGCGGTTCAAGGGTTAACCGCTATCTAAGTGAGCTTTTAAGAGCGGTTCGTGTGTAACCGCTATCTAAACCGTATCTCGCTTGAGCGACAACTTTCTCGCTCGAGCGAAACGCCCCTGCACAAAATTAGTACTCTCGGGTTGTATTTCGCTGAGCGAGTCTAGTCTCGCTCGAGCGATATTTGATTCTGATCGATTATATTTTCGAAATGATCGATCATATTTGATAATTTTTTCAAATAATTAATTATAATCGATTAGTTTTCTAATTTATTGATTAGAATTGATTAGTTTTTCAAATAATAGATTAGAATTGATTAATTTCTGAAATATATACTAAAAAATTATAATTAAAACTATAAATTAGTTAAGAATATTGATCTATTGTAAAGATAAAGTACAACATGGGAGGAGATGAGGATGATAATATAATCATAGAACTTACAAAAATGTAGAATTGAGAAGTTTGAATTACACTTTTAATAAATTTAAGATAATACTAGTTTTGATTTTTATTTTTAAATATTTATTTTAATTATTTAAAACGTAAACTATAATTTTACTTTCTAGCTGTTGAATTTAAAGAATTAAATTTATTATTATTTAATCTTTTAATTCTTTTGGATTAATTTTTTTTCCTAATTTTTTATAAAGTTAATTTTAATATTTAAAAGTATTTAACATTTTGATATAATGAGCATGATAATATAATGATAGAATTTACAAAAATGTAGAATTGAGAATTTTTAAATCTTTTTCTAATATTTATTTTTAAAAATATAATATTATTTTTAAAATTTAATATTTATTTTTTCAAATATATAAATATATAAAGATATAAATGTATAAGGATATAAATAAATATATAAATATATAAAAATATAAATATATAAAAATATAAAAATATAAAAATATAAATATAAGTTTCTTGTAAAACTTTTCAAGTTATTTTAACTGATAAAAATAAGTTTTAATCGATTAAAAGGTTGTGCAGAAATTATTTTAATCGATTGAAATGAGATTTAATCGATTAAAGAGTTCTGATCGGTCATAATTGCATTTTGATCGATCATAATTGAAACCATATAATAGCGGTTCAAGGGTTAACCGCTATCTAAGTGAGCTTTTAAGAGCGGTTCTCGTGTAACCGCTATCTAAACTGCTTCTCGCTTGAGCGAGAACGTTCTCGCTCGAGCGAAACGCCCCTGCACAAAATTAGTACTCGTCGGGTTGTATTTCGCTTGAGCGAGTCTAGTCTCGCTCGAGCGATGTTGCAACCGCTATTAGAAGTAAATATAAACATATAAATATATAAATATATATAAATATGTAAAGATATAAACATATATCTTTAATATTTTGTAAATGTAAATATAATTTATATATATTTTTAAATCTTTTTCTTATATTTATTTTTAAAAATATAATATTATTTTTAAAATATAATATTTTTTTTTCAAATATATAAATATATAAAGATATAAATGTATAAGGATATAAATAAATATATAAATATATAAATATATCAAAATATAAATATATAAAAATATAAATATATAAATATATAAATATATTAATATATAAATATATCAATATATAAATATATAAATATATATATATATATATATATATATATATATATATATATATATCAAATATATCAATATTATCCCCTCATATATTAATATACATTATTAGCATAATTTTAATTTAATTAAAAATTAGAATACAAATATACTATACTATACTAATATACCATTATATTATTTTCATTGTATATAAATTACAAAATTAATAATTTGTATACTATACTATACTAATATATTATTTGTATACTATACTAATAGTATAATATACTATATTATAATATTATTTGTATAGAAAACTAATATCTTTATATATAAATATGAAAACATATAAATATATGTAAAAATATGAAGATATAAATATATAAAAATATAAATATATGTAAAAATATAAAGATATAAATATATCAATATATAAATATATCAATATTTAAATATATATTAAAATATATAAATATATTTTTATTTATAGATTTTATATTTATATATTTATACTGGATATACATTTATTTGTATATAAATATAATTTATTTGTAAGTTATTATTAAAAGATCCCGAGTAGCTCGATGGTTGGAGTTTCACCTCCAACTCTAAGGTACTGGGTTCAATCCTGACAATAACAATAAACCACCTAATAATAAGTTAAACTTCTAAAAAATATAATATAATTAAGAGATAGGGGAAATAAAAACTTAAATAAGCAAAAATATAATATAATTAAGAGGTAGGGAAAATAAATAATAGATATAATAAAAATGTAAATAAATAAAAATAATTAAATTTGTTATTCTTTTTCATTGATTTAGTGACTGAATCAGTGACCGAATATATATAATCAAATCGGTCACTGATTCGGTCACTAAAATCAGTGACCAAGGAAATAGTGACCAACTGGAATCGGTCACTGATTCGGTCACTAAAATCAGTGACCAAGGAAATAGTGACCGATTCCAGTTGGTCACTATTTCGGTCACTATTTTAATTAGTAACCGATTTTGCACATTTAGTGACCGAATTTTCGGTCACTGATTCGGTCACTAAAATCAGTGACCAAGGAAATAGTGACCGATTCCAGTTGGTCACTATTTCGGTCACTATTTTAATTAGTAACCGATTTTGCACATTTAGTGACCGAATTTTCGGTCACTATTTGGTGTTTTTCTTGTAGTGAAATCTCTTTTTGAGACATCCGGTTCTTGGGAGTTTAAATTTTATTGTTCGAGAGAGGAGTGCTTTTGTAGTGGGAGGGGACTGACAAAAAGTGTCCTCAAGTTTCAAGATTTATAAAAAGCTCGCTTCGGATGTTCTTTTCCATCCCTTTTCTTTTATCGCTTTTCTTATACTGTTTTCCTTTATGTGCATTAGAAATTAGGGTCATGTAGATATTTAAATACTGCAAGTAAATAAATAGGGTAAAAACATAATTTTTAGAATCTTTATTTTCTGAATTAATCCGTCATAGGGAACCCGAAAGGGGCGTTGTGGGTGTTAATATCTTCCCTACGCGTAACTAATTCCCTTACTCAATTCTGGTTATAATGACCAAAGTTGGTTTTTTTAAACCAACGCCTTCTTTTCCTTTTTCAATGTTTAAGGTTAAAACATTGATGACGACTCCATAGAACCTTTTTTTTTTTTTTTTTACGAAAACCTTACTTTTAATGATAGTTTGATTAACGAGCAACCTAAAAGTGATGACCATTTACTTTACGAAAACACGAGTCACAAACCATTGTGTCGCGACCGCTCGCATATATCGCTTTCCGTGCAGTGACAATCTGGATAAGAAGGAGTCTCTGTCAGATATTAAAAAAATTGAAATAGACATAATCTCATGTTTATTTGTTAATATGATGTGATTAAATTCCATGATAAATATCATTTTTTAAGAAATATAATTTATTACGGTTTTAACTTAAAAAAGTATCGATAAAGTAGGAAAAAATAATATATATAAATTATTTTTAATCTAGATTCTAAATGTTAAACTCATCTTTATTGAAACAATAACAATTATATATTCACAAAACAAATAAATTTTGGCTTAAGTAACATAAAATTGAAGTTGAGAGATAAAAATAAAAATTGAGAGAATTAATAATGGTGGTTCTTATTACACAGGTTTTAAAAATGCTTTTGAAGCAAAAAAGAGAGAGATTTTACCCATGGCTTTATTGAATCGAAGAAAAAAATAAAATAAAGTTTTAAGAAAATTGTTATAAAAGACTTTTAGAAAAAAAGTTGTTCTTGTGATTTTGAGTTATGTAAGACATATATGATGAGGTAAATAGTATAATGTAAGATTACCAAATAAATGATACTAAAAACTATTTTATAAGGATACGATTCAACCTTGAGTACGTTTAATTTAGTTCTGAATGTGCTTACCATACATACAAAATATTATCTCTAATAATTGCATGCTTTTGCAAATGATATAGTTCTGATAAAAGAATTGAGGGGAAATGTTAACTCTAAACTTGAATTTTGGAGATTGACTTTGAAAACAAAATGGTTTTAATTGAGTAGGAGTGAAACATAGTATACACATTACAATTTTATCAAGAAATAAGAGAAAAACAAATTGAGGTAAATTTGGAAATAAATGTCATACTACAAGGTCGACTTGATCTAAAAGCTATTTCAGTTTCAGTTTACTTAAATTAACTTTTCATATTTATTTATCCTATAATCTTCACAGTATGTTACATAGAATCCAAAGTGTTATCACTTCACATAGTGCAGACATAGTTAGAAGGAAAATAGAAATAAATAAAAATGTGCATAAAATATACAGGGAAAGTTAATGCTAACTTTGTTAAGGCAAAAGGACAAATATGATACCAGAGGGTATGCTGGCAGCAGTAGAAGATAGAAACAAGGTTTAAAAATGTGGAGCCATGATGTCTAAGTCGTATTCTTGAAGGTGAAAGTCAAAGTCGTTGCAAGGACAAACATGACAAACCAAGAACATGATAATTTGGTAGTGGAACTTGAATTTCCATGAGATGAACCACCGACACTTCCAGTCATTGGTGAAACGGTGTTAGATCCAATCCCTATGCCAAAAAAATACTATGTCAAATTCACTGTACTGGTCATAAAAGAAAAAAAAAACATTAAACTGAGATAAACTGAGACAATATTGCATATATTTTTCTGAACTTGAAAACATCAGCAATAAGTTTGACATAAATTCCGAGGCCACCAAAAAGAAACTATTAACAATTTTCTATCACACTCTTTTGTGGCTTATTCTTTGCTGTGGTGTAAAATTAACGTCAAAATTTTACCGAACAGTTTTGCCAAACGAGAAATCGAGCTCAATAAACAAAAAGTGAGACTCCCCTACTTGTAGTGAGAAGAGTATGTTTCTGTCATGCGCACAAGTCATTTATTGCTATTTAATGTTTTACTCGTCAGAAATTATTAGAGCATATCCAAGGAGATGCTACCAAGAAGATGCTACGGAATCAAAATAAATATTTTATTGTAGGTCCTCTATCTGAATTATTTAAAAATAAAAAAATTACTTAAAATTAGAATAAAGTTATTTTGATAAGTAATATAATAAAATATTTTATTTTATTTTTAAACAATTCTAATTAAAAACTCTCCATGGAGATGTTTTAGAAAGTTTAAGAGTGAATTACTATGTGTCCACTGTCTTAATAGATCCCTATATGTAATATGTACTCAAAAAATTTCATTCACAACATGTTATAGGAAAATGAATCCAAACCAGACTAGTTAATAATTTTTCTAATCAGCACATCTTTCTCATCCCAGATTGTTGAGCATGTGTCATTATCACATTACTATTTCTCACTTAAACTGAATTTTGGAATGTGACACACCTCAAAGCATGATTAAAATAAGATAAATGAGTTTTCATAAAGTAAGAATTCAGGTTAAAATATTGAGGAAGAAATAAATATAGTTAAAAGAACAGATTCTATTAAAGATGGTTGAGGTTTTTCAACAGAAATTAACTACTAATAATGGATATCTTGTATCAATAATATAATTAAAGAAAATAATAAGATAAGCATGAAGTGCTGTGTTGGAACCTGAAGGGGAATTGGGAAAGTTTGAAACAGAAAGATCTGGTGAGGAAGAAGCTGAGCCTGAAATCATGACATGGCAAGGTAAGTTTTCACGTGTCTCATCTACATACTGTAAGAGAATTTCATGAAGTCATACCACTGCAGGTGCTAAGAGGAGGTGTCTGAACGTTGCAGGAAGTGGGGAGAGCCAAAGCCCGAGTCTGATTGATGTTGAAACTTGCAGCAATAGATGAAGCACCACTGTCAACAACCTCACACAGGCACAGTGGCTGGGAACTCACCACATAGGCGAGTTGAGAGCAGCAAGAAGAGGAAGGGGTAGAGGCATTTCCTGTTACATAGTCAAGGCAAGGAGCAAGACTTATGAACACATCGGTGCAACTTGATTGAGATTGAGCCAATGCGGCACCCCAAAGAGCCACCACAAGGGACAGGCTCAGCAGCATCCCAATCCTTGTAGACGCCATTGGATGATGATGTTGTTGCTATCTATGAGATATTCCCCCAACAATGTTGGTGATGATCAAGTGGGAATATTTGAGTGCTCAATGAGTTTCTTTGGATTTTTTGAGGGGGAAAAGTGGGAAGAGAATGACTTATTGTGAGAAAAAGAAGGGTGAGTTAAAGAGTGGGAGTTGGCTAGCTTGTGCAGCAGGGGAACAACTTTTTTACTTTGTATAAGTAGCAGATTCTTTGTTAATCAACTGATTGGAACTTTACCATTCTGATTTAATAAAGTTTCCCTATGTGTCGTTATATGGTTCTTTTCTTTTGTTTGTTGCTATGTTGATATGTCCCTTAAGCATCGAAAGAAGCCAATGCATCATCTTTTCAAGATGGGTTTACTTTTGAGCATGATTTGTAATGGAATTAGTGTGTGTGGCTATGCTTTTGGTGCAATAATTATGATGCATGATGGAGCGGGCTACTTAAAGGGCGTTAAAATGCTAATGCATTGAATAATAACAAAAACAAATGCTTAGAAGAGAAGGCATGTCGTGGGCATGCCCGTTGAAACATGGGATACTTTTGTCCAACAACTTTTCGATTTTTCTACTTCCAATGTATGCACAGATGATCACGCCAAGAATAGCTACAAAATAATTAAAATAAAACACATGGACTGATTGCAAGAAGAAAGAAAGCATAACAAATTACATTCCTTCGTCCCTTTGATTTCACATAAAAGTAGAACAAAAAAAGCGAATGGCAAGTGGAGTCTAGAGGATTTTTAATCCTTCTCTTTTGAAGAGAAAAGTCAGAAAGTAACTGTATTGAAGAAAATGAACAATTTATCCATACTCACTTGATTCATGACAAATTGTTTTCGAAATTGGTTTTATTTGGTTAGTTCCTGTGGTCAATTTCAATTCAACTGTGTCCAACACTCTGATTTCATCAGAACTTATGTGTCTTTATTTTGTCCAACATTCTACAATGGAGAGCTTTAGCATTTATATGTTCTTTTGATAAGAAGATATATTTTCCAACTACAGATATATCATTCACCATTGTAATTAATGATTTTTCTGTTACCCTATGAGGATGTTCTGCACTAGCTTGTGAATGGAGTTCTAATACAAAATGTCAAAATTCCTAAAACCCAATTTCCATCAAACTATGCAAATTTGTCTAGCCAACCATACCAAATGCCAAGTCTGTAACTACAAATGGGGCAATTGACAGGAATAGTCTTCACACTAGAAATATTAGTCAAGTTAGTTCAACTCCTCCTTTATCATATTCATATCTACCTTCCTCCATTGTAGCGTATAAAATCATTCCTTATCCTGGTTTAATCAAACGTAGACCATTCTATTACACATAAATCTCCTTCCATCTGAGATTGATCCTCTTATCCCTCATGGCTTTTCTAATAGGAGTGATTCTAACAGCCTTTATAGTGGCTTCAGTAAATTTGGTTAGTGGACAAGTTAGTTCTTCTTGCACAAACTCTATGATCAGCAGTTTCACACCATGCGCCAATATCATCACAAGAAGCACTAATAACAATGGTTTAATGCCACCAAGTACGTGTTGTGATTCACTAAGGTCATTGATGAGCACTAGTATGGATTGTGCTTGCCTTCTAATCTCTGCCAATGCTCCATTATTCCAACTACCCATTAGCCAAGTTCTTGCCCTCTCATTTTCACAAGCATGCAACATTAATGGACTTCCTTTGCAGTGCAAAGGTGCAAATTCAATTCATGCTCCATTGCATCTGTCACAGATTTAATTTATGCTTTTTCACAAACTTTAATTTTCCCATTTTCATTTCCGATAAACAAATTAGATTTCTAATTGTGTTTTTTGTGAGGGTACATTGCAGCTTCTCGTTCTCCTTTACCAGCTCCAGGTATTGATTAACAGCATTTCCCAAGATTTTACTTTTCATTGTTACTTTGATATATTACTTTTTCTTTTAATATATTTTAACAAATGATACTTTTTTTAAATTATACTTTTCCTAAATATATATATATCATTGGTAGGCCCTGCAGCTCTTGGATCAAACGGCCCAACTCCCCCTTCAATTGCTGCATCACCGTTAAGCCCACAAGGTATGAGTAATTATGGCGTCTATAGGTTCGTAAAAGGATATATTGAAAAGACAAGAAATAATGAATAAATGAATCTGGTAAGTTAAGATATGAAACAATTATTTGCATATAACCAAAAATTCAATATAATGTTTGGACTGTTTCAAGTTTTACACTATAATTTATACTTCACATGTGTTGTAGATTCAAAAATGGTTGGCGAAGCAGAGAAATATGAGAAAGTGCAGCTAGCCACAGCATCATCTCCACTGGAAGCAGAAGCACCCAGCAGAACTAGAATTCCACAAATCAGACCAGTGTTGACTCCACGTCCTTCCTCGTCTCATTCATCTTTTGTCTCCCCTTCATCACCTTTTGCAATTCTCATAGGAATCATGATTTTAGGCCTCTATTCGTGATTGTTAATGTACAATGTATTTCACCAACCCTAAATCTAACTACTACTCTACACAACCTGCTTTCTCTATATTTCTGCCTACTCATACAAATATTAATCTTTGAATAAATAAAATTTGTGTCCTTTGGTTAAAAAAAAAATAACATATAATCTTTGAAGGGGCTTTCTCTTTCAACCATTTTTTATTTAAAAAGCTCAAATTAAGACTTTTGCTAGTGAAAAATACTTGTTGCGTGATAATTAATATAATATTACAAAAAAATAAGAAGTATAAATAACCAACCGCTAAAAAAATAAATTAATGAACTAAGATTGCTTGATTGGGTTGATAAGCACGAGTGAGTGAAACGTCAATTTGAATAATTAAGCTATAAATCACTTTCCAACTTCTTTATCATTTCATTAACAGTCTTAAAACTATGTTTATAATCATAAGCTGTGAAGAGCACCATAAATACTTTAATTTTTTTCTATTAAAGTCTGCATGTACTCTTCTGGTTAATACTCCATGGTTAATACAAAAAAAAATAGTAATTATAAGAACTTGTTTACCCAATTGAATGAGCATTGATTAATTTTTTTAGAAACTTTAGGAAGTAATAATATAAAAACATTTTTTGATGATATGACACAATTAATAAATGATAAATGATAAATTAAAAATAATAAGAATAGAATTATTTTTGTGAAAGAAAGAAATATATTACAGAGTATTTTTACAAGTAAAGTAAGCCAACAATTTAAACCAAAAAGGAGAATCTGTAGGTGGATTACCTGGACCATACGAAATCAAGAGTCAATATCCAAATCAACGTAGCCAGCTATGGAATTGAAGGGGCCACTTAAACTACGTCGTTGTTGTTGAGTCTTTATTATTGTTGTCCACGCGCGATTGCATGTCATCATAGCTTGAAGCACGGAAATAAGAAGAAAAAATAAATAAATAAAAAACTGGAGATTCCAGAAGTTGTGGGAGAAGGGAACTGGAAAGGAATTTAGAATATGCGGAATGGTATTCGTTGGATTACTGCAGCTGCACCATAACGAACGAGGAGTGGTGAATTGGGGCACGCAAAGGGAAAACAAAATTTAATTAAATTAAACCCCTATTATATAGTATGTTATTAATTTGATTTTTAAATATAAAATCAAAACTACAGCCAAATAATGAGAAATAGGAAAGATATATAGTAAGTATTATCTTGTTTGCATATTTGAAAAACAAAACCTAGGGAAGGGGAAGTAAGTAACGCAAACCGAAACGCACAACATTCACGTTCACATTGTAAACTCTTTCAATTCAGCGTGCCGTTTCCTTAGCTTCTTTTCTCTCCTTCTATCTTCTTCGCAATTTCTTCAATTCCTTTCGTCATCGTTGGTCTTCGCTGTCAGGTAAATCACCTTTCCTCTATCTCTTTTTTTTTTTTTTTTTTTAATTTCAAATTCGAATTAATTAGGAGTGAGGGTTGATACTTAATTTGCGCTGATTTTGGTTGTGTTTGGAGTTGATCCAATACCCATTGCTCTGTTAATTTCGAATTTTGACTATCTTTTGCTTTATCACTTGTCGCAATTCTCGTACTTGTTTGTTCCTGTTTTTTCATTACACTTTTTTTTTTTTTGCGAGTGGTGAGAAATGTTAGGGCAGGAATCCCTATTTGAATTATGTGGTGTGTGTGCGCGAAGTGGGTTGTGAATCCAATACGAGCAGCGAGTTTGTTTGTTGGTTTTTCCCATTTGATTTTGTTCATTGCTTTATTCTTCATACAACTGAGTTTGGCCTCCTACTGAAGACATTTTAAGAAACTTCAAGTTTCATTTGTTGTGTGTCATTTACTGAAACTGGGAATTAGCGGTGTTTTTCGGCCTATTTCCCTTTTCAATGTATGCGCATCTTGATGGGAAACAATTGCATTGCATTCAAATTAGATCGTATTTCCCTTTTTGGTTCTCTCTGCAATGGGTGATTTTCGTTGTAGATTCTACATTGACTGGGGCTGTGACCAAAATAATATATACAAATGAGTATCTCACAACAAATTTCCTAGAGTTTTCTTCACATGTTTGCTATAGCATATAATTTCCAATGAAATTGATTTGTCCGTTTACACGTAAATATTACTTTGACCTTTGTTTTTGCTTTTTATCAAGCTGTTCATGATTTTCTCAAATGACTAAAACAGTATGCTCTATTTTGTGCTTGATAAGGAGAGTAGTCTGGTATATGACCCTTTTACAGTTTCAGTGAATCATGCGTCTCTGATATTGGTTTCCTTTAATACTCATATAACTAACTTGTTTTTTTTTTTCTATTATTGGCTTGGACATTTAGTATTGGAAGTTTATTTAATGCTAAATTACTCTTCCTTGACCCTTCAGAATGCATGTTACTGTATTTAAAATCATGAAACTGAGATGTGCATAGCTTAAGCTAATGCAGTTTAGATGGGGTCTATGTAACTTTCATCAATAACGGGTCCAAGCATAGAATGCATAATGTAAAACATAGAAAGTACAAGTTTGCATTTGGGCATGATTTGAGAACTAGATCCTGCTGGTTAATTAATCATTATAGCATCTGTTGTGCTCTACTATTCCCATTAGTAGATTGAAAAAGTAAAACCCTTGAGAATGTATCCATTGACGGGATGTGCCTATTTATTTGAGGATAGTTACTCTTTCTTCTTGTGTCTTTTATATAGGGAATCAACACTAGATGATGCTCGGTTGCATTTTAGTGTATTTCTCCTCCTTTATAAACCAGATTTTATCCTCCAATTATCTAAAATGAGTTAATCCAAGGTCCCTATTTGTATACATGTCAATGTGAGTTGAGATTTATGAACCAGACCGGTTGATATATTTTTGTGATAATAATCAAGCAATAAATTGAATTCTTTTTTCAAATTCTTCAGAGTGGGTGATGTTGAAAGCAGTATTTATGTATGTAATGTACTGTCTCAATTCTGCAACAGGATTGAAGAGGTAGGTAAAAATGCACATTCGTATTAGTTTGAAGACGATGAAAGAACATGGGACCGTTGCTGGGGCTATGGGGGTGAAATTGTGAGATGTCTTAGAAGGCTATTTTGGCTATATCTTAAACATCAGCCTGTCCTTTATTGACTCTTAGGAAATAAACTATATGTGTGAGTGTCCACATTGTCAACATGACTTTTACCATTAGGTAGAGGGAGGGACCACTGGTTTGAAATCCTATGGGTCAGTATGTGTCTCTATGTGTGACTCAATTGTTACTATTTACCATCATAATGAATTAAGAAAATCTAAATATATTTTTACATGTGAATCCGGTTTTCTCTGATATTTTTAGTTTGATTATCTGTATCTTTTCTCAAGTTCTAAAATATAGTAAGTTCAATAAAAAAATTCATTTATAAAGGGATCCGATATTATCATAAATTATATACCACTCCACTGTGTTAGTTGTTATTCCTGCTGGTATTTAATTGACAGAAAAGAAAAGTTCTTATTTAATTTGCTCTGATATCCAAGAAAGTCTACCATGCTTTGTAGACAATTTTCATTTAAACTTCTTAATTCAATTTGAATTTCATTTAAAGACTACCTTGCCCTTCACGTTAGTACTGCTTCTAACACATTGAATTTGAATGTCTAAAGTATCACAGTATTGTTATACGCTAATGGATAAATACTGTGGCTGCAGGTGCACAGTATATAGTAACAGGAAGTCAGCGACAGAAAGTTATCAGAAATAGATGAAAAAGCAGATATAAATCTATGATGTCTGGACTGATTGAAGGACTTCCTGATGCTGTTGCAATTAGGTGCCTTGCACGGGTTCCTTTCTACCTTCACCCCATGTTAGAGTTTGTCTCACGTTCATGGCAAGCAGCTATTCGTAGCTCTGAACTATTTAAAGCTCGGCAGGAGGTTGGTTCTACAGAGGATCTGTTATGTGTCTGTTCCTTTGATCCAGAGAACTTATGGCAGCTGTATGACCCTATGCGAGATCTCTGGATTACACTTCCTGTTCTTCCGTCAAAGATCAGGCACCTGTCCCACTTTGGTGCTGTTTCCACTGCTGGAAAGTTGTTTGTGATTGGTGGTGGAAGTGATGCTGTTGATCCTTTGACTGGGGACCAAGATGGTTGTTTTGCAACAGATGAAGTCTGGTCATATGACCCTGTAGTCCGGCAGTGGGCCCCTCGTGCGTCAATGCTTGTCCCCCGTTCTATGTTTGCCTGCTGTGTTTTGGATGGGAAAATTGTTGTTGCTGGGGGCTTCACTAGCTGCAGAAAATCAATATCTCAAGCAGAAATGTATGATCCTGAGAAGGATGTTTGGATTCCAATGCCTGATCTTCATCGCACTCATAATTCGGCCTGTTCAGGAGTAGTGATCGGTGGAAAGGTGCATGTACTGCACAAGGATATGTCAACAGTGCAAGTTTTAGACAATGCAGGGCCAGGGTGGATAGTTGAGGAATGTGCATGGCTCCAAGGTCCGATGGCAGTTGTCCGTGATGCACTTTATGTGATGAGCCATGGATTAATCTTCAAGCAGGACAAAGAAGTGAGAAAGGTTGTAGGTTCAGCATCTGAGTTTCGAAAGAGAATTGGATTTGCAATGGCTGGACTAGGTGATGAGTTATACGTCATTGGAGGCTTCATTGGCCCTGACAGATGGAATTGGGACATTAAGCCATTATCCGAAGTTGATGTTCTCACACTTGGAAGTGAGAGACCAACTTGGCGCCAAGCAGCTCCAATGACTCGGTGTCATGGTACTATTCTTGGTTGTACGCTGCTGAGAATTTAGGCTTTCGCTTTCTAGGTTCTAGTGTTATTTGTTGTGCTCGCAGGATTTGGACACCTTCGACTAGACAAAGAAGCAGTTATTCAATGGTTTCTCTGTTTTGTATGTAAGCTCATAATATTTGTCCTTGTTTTTATGGATCCCGTGCTGTAACTAGTTGAGTTTCTGTATCTGTTTTGTTTGTAGCAAAACAGTTAATGATCACCATTAACAAGGCAACAAATCGGTTCTGTTGCTATTCCCACCTAGAAATTTATCAGTTCACAAAGAAAAATCATCTTCGTTTAGCTATTCACCCTTTTAAGACTGAAGCTTGATTGTTTTAATTCAGTTTTTGTTTTTTTCCTTTAAGAAGAGGGGTGATTTGACAATATAAAGTGCACCATTTATGACTAATAAAAATTTGTAGCGAATATAATTTTGACCAAGGTGAAGAGAATTCAGAAAGTACTGCATTATTCATATGAAAGTCGATAACACTGCAGAAGGATAACTCTTTCACTATCAGTACATCTGATGATATTAGTTTATCAAGATGAATACTATATAGGGAAACAACACTAATTCACAATATTTTAACCGCATGAACGTAAATGCTAGCTGGACCGTAGTAAAAGAGAGGAAGAGGATTACCATTTCAGGGTGTTGGGTTTCCATGCATGGATTGAAACTTACTATATTGGATCCCTGATTAATACCATGCCAAATTTAAAAAACTTATTGTGAAGTACAAAACCTTTTATAAGAAGTTTAGTAAAAAGACCCGAGACTCTTAATATGAGATTAAGATAATTAGTGAGTGAGAATATACTTAAAATAAAAGAAGGAAAAACATTCAGTTCTTGGCGATTAAAATTCGGGTCAAGTTATTTTATTTTTATTCGAAGTACTTATATATATATATATATATATATATATATAAGACTAAACGAACATGACTAAGTAATAAAAATACAACATCCCTAACCTGTGTAAAAAAAATAACATAATATATACTATAATCAAAATGTTTATCTCTTGAATCAACACGGATTTAGTTACATAATATCGTCAAGTTAATGTTTGCAAACTTCAAAATAAATAATCCTAGTTAGTTTTCTACATATGTAACCCACAATTATTCTCTAATCATAAATACCAATTTTATTAACATTTATAATAAATACTGTACAAACAATGCTAATAACAATTTTCATTTTTTACTGGTGCAAAGATCTTTGCATTTACAGTTAGCCATTAAACTCAAAGTTACAATTATGGATTTCAATATACTTTTAATCATTTGTACTTAATCTGTGTATTTTTCCTTTTTTTTTTTCTGTTCGAAAGCCTTCTACCAAATTATCACAATCGAAATTATAAAACTAAAAGATTAATTTTAAATTTAAGGAAAAAAAAACTTATTTCAAATTAAAAAAAAAAATCTAAACATGGAAGTTTTATTTCTCGTTGGTGGGTCAAGCGGGTAAGAGAGACAAGAAAGCCCAATATTTGGAACGGAGTAGCGCCAAACCCTAAGACGGTAGTTAGTTTCTCATTGGCAGCATGGATTCGGAACCCAAGAAGGACGTCGAAGTCGCTCCGGCCCTCATCGCCGTTCATCCCGACCAATGCTCCGTCGCCGTTGCCGTCGGGCAGCACCTCCGCGTCTTCGACCTCGCGTAAGTAAAACTTCACTTCTCTCATTTCTCTTCAACTCATTCATTATACTGATAAACCCACAGTGCCGGTGACGCAGCTTCCTTAACGGACGACTCCGACGCCGTTGCCTTCCACACTGATAACATCAGAGCCATTTGCTTCGGCGCCAAAGGAAAACTATTTGTATCCGCCGGTGACGATAAAACCGTCAAGGTCTGGTCAACACAGTCATGGCGTTGCATCACCACCGTGTAATTTAAACCTCTCTCTTGCTCTCGTTTTGTGTTGTTTCACGTGCATTCTTCCAATTCAGTAATTTAGTTCCTTCCTTTTTGTGACGATGAAATTAGGTCCTCTGAGAAGAGAGTATCAGCAGTTGCAATTAGCAACGATGGAAACTTCGTTTGCTTCGCCGACAAATTCGGCCTTGTTTGGATTGTGGATCTCGACCCTCCGTCACGCGATAAGAAACCCTCACCTCTTCTTTCTCACTATTGCAGCATCATCACTAGCTTGGTCCGTCACGTCACGTGATTTTTCTCCCTTTTGCTTTTTGAATTAAGTTAGTTAACATTGTTCTTATTGTTCCTACGCGATTTTCTTCTGCAGGAATTTTCCCCGGATGGTCGCTTTATTTTAAGTGCTGATCGTGATTTCAAAATTCGTGTAAGCTATCACATTTCAAAATTCGAGTCCGCTATTACTCTTTTTTCTTTCTGTATTAATTATATCCACATCTCAGGTTACTAATCTTCCCAACAAGCCCTTAAATGGAGCTCACCAGATACAAAGTTTCTGTCTCGGTCATTCAGAGTAAGAGTTGCTTCTATTATTGATGACTTTGATGGCTTTTAATGACTGGCAATGTCAACTTTTCATGATTGTGGATACTGGGCATTGTTGCGAAATTTATTATAGGGTTAAGCAATATTAAGGGCATTTCCGATGCTAGTTATTACCGAGTAAGAATGGGTTGGCTACTAGAACTTGTTTTGTAACAGAAAAAAACAACTGATAAAGGAGTGAGAAAAAATTAAATTTAAAAATATAATATATTATGGGATCTACCCAAAATAAGTTAAGAACTAAGATTAAATTTTAGCACCAGAGAAAAACGCGGAAAGCTTTGAAGTTATATGTGATACTAAGGAAGTCACAGAAACTGTGTTAAAAACCTACAATGGATTCTAGCATTGGAGATGACCTAAGTTATTGAGATCATCTAAGACGTATTTTCAGCACTATTGTTTCTCGTAGGTTTACTTTCCTCATTCACAAATGAATGTAGCTGCCATGTCTTCTGCTCAGTAAAACTTTCTTCCTGATTTTTCAATAAATAAATTTGCATCTCTTTGCAGGTTTGTTTCCTGCCTGGCATTTGTTCAGGGTCAGGAATGCCCTGAAGGCCTTCTTCTGTCTGGCAGTGGTGATTCTACAGTTAGTAATCATTCAACCTTTCAGGGTTCAGGCATACTGTCTATTTTTCTTTATATTCATCTTTTAGATGAAAGTAATGTAAAATTGTTAATTGCCTTTTGCAGGTTCGATTGTGGAATGTCGACTCTGGAGCACTTTTTGATACTTGTGAGGTTGCTCTTAAGGTATTTCTTTTAATTCTTGAAGGCTCAAAATTGTATAATTTTTTTTTTATCTTGCTATGAAAGCATTTTGAAAATTATTATTGGACTTGTCTATTCTTCTTCACCATAAATGAAATAAATTTTACTGATTTAGATAGTGGTGGTTTATACCGCTTTTTGCTGTTGAACTTGTTTTTTACTTATTCTGCATCCTCTGTTTCCAAAGGCAGGACTTTTAGAGGATAATGGCAAAGCAGAGGAGCATGGTCATGCTGTTACTGATATATGCACCGTCCTTGATGGTTTGCTTGTTGCAGTGGCCATTCAGAGGCAAGTCTCCCACTAAGCATTCTGTCTTATTTCTCATCGGGAAAATTTTGTTATGGTTTACTGACAAGTTTTATTAATAATCTGCAGCTTGCAAGGAATAATATTGCTGAGTTGCAATGTTTCTGAAAAAACTCTTTCTGTTACCAAGGTAATTGCTCTTACACATGCTTGAAATGACCATTATTAACTTGTGTCATTCTGGTCATTTATTTAGGGTTTTTCTATTTTTAACACGTGAAGTTAAGATTTATACTTACGTGTTATTGTTAAGAAAACAAAGCTAACTGCTGATATATAAGGAGGGAAATATTTGTTACTAATGGTGGGCATTTATAATGATGGGAAAACTCCAGGTGGTTTCAGTTGTTGGAGAGGCCTTTGTCCCTACCTGCTTGGGGAGCAGCCCCTCTACAGGAAAATTGTGGATGGTTACTGGTGTCTCAAGTTTACCTGGTTGTAGCTATCCTGCGTTGGCTCGTGTTAGAGTAATATCTGATATAGATATTGAGCAAGAACCAGTTGTTCTGGGAGATGATAACATACCTGGGGGAGAAAAGCTGCTAGAAACGTTGCAAGGAACTGCCTCTGTTGATGACAATGCTTTTTTAGCAGCAGCTGAAGCTGTCAAAACAGCTATGTGCCACCTATTGATAAAAAAACAATACCCTTCTGAGAATAGAGAATCTAGGAAGAAATGCAGAAATGATAGAAAACTCAAGGGCTAGCATTTTGTTTCATTTTGTTTTTATTAATATATGAAGCAGTTTAGCACGGTTTCCTTGATCACTAGTTTCAAAAGATTATTTTTTACTATCCATTTTATTAATTCTAATAAACTGTGCATCTGAAATATTAAAACCAGACTGCCATCAATTTTTTGGTCGGTCATTTTAACGTTGTTCTAAACATCTTGTATCTGTTCATCATCACTGTTACATTATCATCTCAGCTCTTCTAAATAGTACAACACGAGGCAAGTTTCGTTTCTAACAATCATGTCTGCGACAGCGTCCTTTGTTGAACTTATGCTGAGCTGATGCGCTGGTAGTTGCGTGCAATTTCGATTCAACTTATCAATTCCATGAAAAAAATGGAGGGAATGTGCCAGTGCTTGTTAACTAGGTCGTGGGCGGTGTTTTTGCACGGAAAATAATAAAGTGTATTTCTACCTGCATTTCACAATTTTCTCGTCATACCTATTTTTCTGAAATGGATTTTTTGAAATTATTAGTGGACTTTACTAAATGTATAAAATACATTCTGATAAGGTCTATTGACAACAGAAAATTGTGAAATGCAGGAAGATGAATCCTATAAATAAATTATTAAGTAAAACAAAAGAAAAGGGGGGAAAAGGTAGGGTCCTAAACACACGTATCATTAACTCTTTACAATTAACTTATGGTTGAACCAATTTATAATTAATTAGATTATATTTTTTAAATTTACTATGCTTGTGTCTCATTATTTCAAATTTTGAGTTTAGCCTTTTCATTCGTTTCCACTATTTTGATCTTTCTATTTCAAAGTGTGTAATTTTGGTTTATATGTTAATTTTGAGAGAAAATAATATCAATGAAAAATTACGTAATTAAAATAGTGAAAAATAATATATTTGAAAAAAAAATATTGACGAGGACCAACTTCTAATTTCGATAATGATAGAATTATTTATAATATAATTAAATTTTGATCTATCTTATTACTGGTTTGTTAAAAGATCGACCTAATTATAAATTAGTGATGAATTGAAATTTTCGGTTGATCTTATTTAAGTTAAGTTATGAAAGAAAAATATAAATTTTAAATATTAATATAAATTGATAAATCTATTTAAAAGATTTCAAATATTTCAATAAATTTAGTTATAATTAGATTTGAAAAATAATCTTATACTTTAAAATGTTTTTATTCCTTTTATTAATAGTTAGACAAATAATGCATGGCTTGAATTTTGAATACCTTTAGGCAAAGTTTATAAAAGAAATTATGTGAAGGATTTAATTTTGAAAAAAAAAAAGTTAGAGCTGAGTTTTAATAATCAAGTTTGAACCTGCTAACTTAAAAAAAAAAACATTTTTCAAGACATATAAAATATTTAAAGAATTAAATAAACAATATTCAACACAATATTCAATAATTATGTGATTGATTATAATTTCCTACGTCTGATTTCAAGTTATTTTAAGATTGGAGTGGTGGTAAAGATCTTTGTATTGGTGAACATTGACCTAACACTGACATGCTAAGGATTACTTAGAAACACGATTATAGAAATCCTTGAACTACACAGGTCTTCCTTTTACATTGTTGTCCATTATAGCGTTTTGTCCTTGTCAAAGTTTCCTCACCTAAACTTGTATAGGATTTGTCATTATCACATTTTCATTCCCATTAATATATATATATATTTCTTATTTTGGGGTAAAATGAGTTCATTCCCTAATGAGTTTTCCGCTTTGTAAACAATATTGTTCCATCAATGACGCATTTTGGGCCCATATCATCAATATCAACTCATGAGCACCGATTGGAGGTGAAAAAATTAATAACAATCAAAATGATTGGACTGATGGCATCAATGACCATTGTCAAAACCAAGCAACTCCACTCATTTGATTCTCTAAACTGCTAATGATAGCAAGTTGGAGCTGTTATTAATCACAATCAATATCAGAGAAACTAATTGTTTCACCAAAAGATAAATAAAATTATTTTATACTTTCATCACTTAATCACAACTAACCGACAATGTTTGTTTGTTCTTCCTTTAATTTCTAATCCATATTACAATCTCTCTACTCTTTCTTTTCACTTTTTCAGTTTAAATATTTGTGAAGATCTCTATTATTTCACTTCAATCCACACTTTACATACGTTTATTTCTTTTGTTTGTTTATTTAGTTAATTAAAATTGTTTTATTAGAAACAAAAGTATTTCGATTTTATATATTGGGCTATTAGAATATTAGTAGGATTTATAATTTATTATTATATTTGAGATATGTTATAATTTTATCTTTTAAAAATAATAACATATATATATATAAATTATTCTTTATTTTAACTTTTAAATTATATGAAATGAGTATATTATAACATCAATATTTTTATAATATTTAAATTTAATTTTAAAAAAATTATATAAAAAATGAAAGATTAAGTCAAATTACATGATTCTAAAAATTTGAAGACTAAAATAAAAAAAATGAAATTATAAATAAAAAACTAAATTATAATTCAGTTAGAAAAAAAGTAACAAAATGATTTATTAATTGAGATATAATGGTTTTGTTGATGGAGAACTACTTCATTGAAAAATTTTCGGTAGACGTTGACTTAGTAGATGCTGACTTGGCTTTCTAATCTGTACCACCACCAAGTGAAAGTGTGAGAAGCGATGGAATCAGAGGAAGAGTGCATGACATGTCAACTACACGATTCTGCCTCGTTTTAACAGATAAAACTCTTGTTCACTTAAAAACCGTTTTCATATTTTATATAATTTTTTTGAGATGTATTTCTTTTTATATCAATTATATATTATCATTTTTTCTCTTGTATGTTTATTATTTTTAAATATATAAATCAGAACAACTATTTTTTTTAAATTATGATATTTTATTTTTATTTTCTCTGGTAATACTAAAAAAAGTTATGAAAAATATGTTTATTATATATGTAAGAAATAAATAGTTACTACAAAATTCATAAATTTTGTAACATATATTGTTAATTTATATGATTGAGTAATAATATAAAATATCTTCGCACTATTTATTTAAATTCAGTATTTAAAGTAGTGAATCAGATTTTTTTTATCAGTGAGTAGATTTCAATTTGATTTTGTTAACTGTTAAAACTTATAAAAATATACACTTAATATGATCTATTATCATAATTTTGAATAAATGATAATAATTTATTAACTATAAATTTTTAAATGAATAAAAATGTTTTCAATATACACAACGCATATACATATTGATTTATATTTTCATATTACTGAAAAATGTAAATAATAAACAAAAGAAAACAAAAATGTAAAGATGCAACTATGGAATTGATTCATTCATATAGCGTACGTACATGATGGGTAATCCACGTTATTAGTATAACATATGAAACAGAAAACTAAGAATAAATTAATAATAATAATAATAATATTATTATTATTATTATTATTATGTTTATTATTATTATTTTTATTATTCTTATTATTATTATTATTATTATTATTATTATTATTATTACTATTATTATTATTATTATTATTATTATTATTATTATTATTATTATTATTATTATTATGTAGTGTGCAGTGTGTTGTTTCGGATAACACGATCCTCATCCCTAATGTGTCTAATGTTATATGGTTCTGACAATGTGGTCCTGTGTTTTTAAAGACTTATGCCAAAAGCTTCAGCCTTATCCAACAGGGGAAACAAGTGAGTCACGTAAAATTTGTTATGAAAATCATGTATGTTTATTTGTGACGAGAAGAGAATTTTCTCATATTATTTAAGAGTGACAATAACGAATTATTAAAATAATATTATTATATTATATATATACATAAGAGAATCTCTTATAAAATTATTTACTTAACTGAATTTTGTATGAAATTATTTATTTAAGTGAACCTATTTTATTGTTGTACTTGAAATTTAGTTTTTCAGTAAACTGAATTCTTACTTTAAATTTACCATTTTTTTAAAATAAAAAATTAAATAAAATATATAATTAAAAATAATAAAATTAATACTAAAAATAAAATGTTAATTTTAAAATTTAAATAATATTTATATAAAAAATAATAAAAATAATATATTATTTAAATATATATTAAATTATTTAAATATATTTAAATAATTATTAAAAATATTAAATAATAATTTTTATTATATTTTTTATATATATTGTTTTTATTTTTAAATAGGAAATTTAAATTTTATTATTATTATTATATGAATTATTTAAGTTATAATTTTAGAAAAAAATTGATAAATTTAATATATAAAATATTAAAAGTAAAATTAAAAATAAGTTATTAGTAGCAAAATAAAAATTATAGAACATGATATTAAATAAAAATAATAAAGGTAGAAAGATTTGTATAGAGTGAAAATAATAGAGGTTTATGAAGAAGAAAACTCACCACAAATTTCTTCTAAAATTCAAGAACAACCATACCGACGAAATCCAAAACATAATAGACATCGTCCTTGTTGTGGAACTAGACACCACTTTTGATATTAAAATTTTCTTAACATTATTGTCAATAATTTTATTTTTCAATTTTTATTATCAATGATTATGTTATTTTTAATATTATACATTAAATTCTATCAATTTTTATTATTTTTTATTTTTAAGTTTATTTTATATTAATAAATAATAATTTTTAACTAATTAAATAATATTTTTACTTTATTATTTAAAAAAAAATAATTTTAGCATGAATTTTTTAATATAATATTTATAATTTATCAAATAAAAACTATTACATAAATTTTTATAATATAATATTTAATTTTTAATATATTACCTAAATTAAATTTTTATTTATTCTATTTTTTTCTAAAATTATAACTTAAATAATTCATATAATAAAAAAATATATAAATTTTAAATTTTCTATTCAAAAATATAAAAAAAATATAATAAAAAATTATTATTTAATAATTATTTAAATATATTTAAATAATTTAATATATATTTAAATAATATATTATTTTTTATATAATATTATTTAAATTTTAAAATTAAAATTTTATTTTTAATTATATATTTTATTTAATTTTTTTATTTTAAAAAAGTGATAAGTTTAAAGTTGGAATTCGATTTACTGAAACCTAATTCCAAGTACAACGATAGGAGATGTTCAGATTAAGTAAATAATTTTATAAGAGATTTAGTTAAGTAAATAATTTGATTAGAGGTTCTCTTTTTTATATATATATATATATATGTATATAATATTATTTTAATAAAAAAGTCGACAATAACAATAATTCTTATATATATTTTTTCTTTTAAATTTATTATATATTCTTTTAAAATAAAATAGACGAAATATTTAGATGAGCATAGGTGATTGAGAGAAGCTTACGCAGGGATCCTCCTCCATATTTGACACTCTACCTAATTCCTCAACTCTTCTTATCTTCATTAAACCCTACTTACTATTATTTCTTTTCATTTATACCATCCACTATACACATTTACTTTCATTTTCTTAATCTTATGATGTAATTTTAACAACCTATGTGTACATAACAATTCCATGTCACGTCCTCCAATAATTAATTTTACCATTAAGTAATATTGTTTAACTTAAAGCAACTTTAATATATGTACATGTGTGTGTGCGTTTTTGGAAATGTAATAGTTATGCCCATTATTTTTCTTCGTCTTTATCATAGTATTTTCATGGCAGCTTGTAATGGTATTAGAAAATAATAATCAAGATGCAATTTATATATTTCTTAGATCATTTTAATATTAATTGATTTTAATTTTATAATATAATATTAAATTTTATAACTAATTTTGTATATTATAGAAGTCTGATTTAACATACATTTATAGGAAAAATGAAAGAGAAAATCCTAAATCATGTGTCATAATTCTTAAGATATGATTTATATATAAGTTAAATCACTTAACTTAACATTGATTAGTTTAAAATAAAAAGTTGACAGTAATTTGTAAGAGTTTTGTCATTCATTTTTACTGTGCAGTGTAGCAACAAACACCACTATATTGCTCTCTTTCACCATCTCCTATAGATATTTTTTGGATTAAGAAAAATATTATTTTCTTCCTTCAATTGATCTCATTTACGATTTTTTGTATTGGCTTGCATAAATTTGGAATTGTATGCATTATGTGACCAAACATCCCATGTTATCCAATAATTCAAAATACAAGCCAAATACTTCAGTTTGCAATTTCAACACTCCTCTTTCGCCACGTTTTCTTTGTCCTCCTCTACTCAGGGAAATGGAAAATGTTGGACACTCCTTTCTGTAGTTTATCAAAAAATAGAAAATGCTTTAAAATATAAACTATTCTTCATGTTTTAAAATGCATATTAATTTAGTATCTGTACAAATTTCCAAAAATAAATAAATAAATAAAAGGAGTTAAGTATAAAATGTGCAAAACAGGAATTAATATTTGATTATGCGAGTATGGTTGCACTATTTACAAAATGAAAACATGGAAGTGAATCTGAAACCCTTTTCAGATGGTCAAGTTGACAAATCTTCTCCTCCAACACACACCCACGTGGACTGGTTCTGATATTTTCCTCCAAAAAAACCCACCTGAAAACCGGTTCTTAATTTAGACCAAATTCCATTCCACACTACAAAAAAATGGATCCCTACGTCATTTCCATGTTTGCCACTTCACTTTTTTAAATTATTAGATTCCTTGCAATCGATTACGAGAACTACAATCCAACAAAAAATTAACACTGTTTGCGAAAATTATCCCCTGATAAACAAGAAAATGAAAAATGATTAAATAGCGTAAATTAATTATTGTTTTTGGCAGAAAAAATATTTTTGTCTTATATAAAGTACAAGATACACGGCCCAGTAAGGAGAAAGTGGGCCCTGGATAAGTTCGAAAAAGACACGCCTCTTTGGTGGGCCCCACTTGGGCCAACGGATAATGGAAGTACGTTACGTGGGACAGGTAGTTTTCGTTTGTGGGTCCCATCCCACGAGGATAAGCAATATATGAATTATGCACTCTACGTCTCTATCTGTGCTTGGCTCTAGTTTTATATGTTATTTATTTAATATAAATCAGAAATATTAGTTTAACCTAAATCATTTGTTCAATCAACTAGCTTAACCTTTACGCACCAAAATTAATTGATTTTTAATTAAAGTTAATCTGCTTATATTTTTCCTTATTAACCATCTATTAACAATGAACTCAATGATGCCAATGTTGATGTATTGTTTTATAGGAATGTGATTAAATAAAGAAGGTTGGTTCACCTAAGTTTTCAGTTTAATTTTGCGTGCGGTTTATTAAGGTTCACCCACAATTATTTATATTTACCTATACCAAGGACTAATCACTCAATCTTCTAATTATATTTTATGCTTATTTTACACAGTTAAGAGATTATTTATTTATTTACTTACCACATTAACTAATCCGCAACTTAAAGTTAATTATAAAATAAAATGATCGGATTAGCTGTTGTGTCTGTTTCCCTGTTATGAGGCACTGTGCAAGAGAGAGTGTGGACAAAATACATTCCATCACCCAACGAAGGATTTCAAAATTTTCAGAATCGACAAAAATCAATCTGTTTATTTTCACATTTTAAAGAAAAATTAAAAAGGTGAGATTGAAAATTGAAGCAATATCTATGGCCTAATCTACTGGCCTAAGAATAAAAATTGTCAAATAATATACAGTAAGTACATCTTCTTCTTTTTTAAATTATTAAAAACCATTTAATAATATAATTAATATGCTATACAATTATTACTTTCAAAAAGATGGAAAATAATGTTCAATTTGATCGACGAGAAATAGAAAAAAATAGGCAAAAGAAATGCAATATATTTATTATTTTAAAACTATTCGCACTTTTTCTTTATCAAACCTCTTAAGATAATTTATTTTTATGGCTAAAGATGAAGAGAGAAAAGGAAATTTAAATGTTGATAGAATAGTCAAAATGCAGAAATTTCTATAAATTATTATTGTTTTTAATTAAAATATTATTCTGGCAGAGACTATTTTTTACACTAAATTATTACGGATCTGATGATTAGAAATATCATGAAAGGTTGTTTTATACTCTTCCCACGGTTTAAGAAAACGATGAGGGTTATAGATTTGGTGTGAGAAATATTTTTATTTAATTTCAAAACCATCCTCATAATTCAATTTTGTTGCATCACAATGATTTGTTTTTACGGTAGAATATAATAATGATAATGATAATAATAATATTATTATTAATATTAAACACATTAGTCAAAGATAAAAATAAAAAATACTCTAGTTTTGATTCTGAAATCTAATATATATTAATATTTGTATTTTATTATATTATAAGTTCAAAGGGAGATGTTTAAATAACACTAAATGATTGAGATAAAATTAAAATAAGTGCATATAGAACAATAAACTTAATGCAGTTTTTATTGAGTCAAAACAGAAATAAATGAGATAATACATATGAAGACAAATATGTATTTCGACATAAATAGTAATAACGTTTGATTTTCATGCACACGACTCCTTTGCTTCTCCTTCGTTTATCTCTGAACTGGCATGTGAATCCAAACACGACTCTCTCTTTCTCTTTCTCTCTCTTCTCACTTTTTATTCTCTTCTTTATTGCTCCAAATCCAATGCTCTTTATATAAACTCCCACACTTTGCAGCATTAACAGAAAAAAAGAAAAATAGAAAAATCAAAAGAGTTAGGAATCAGTGATGGGGAGGAAGAGGCAGGAACTGCATGTGCTTGGTAACCAAACAAAGCTCAAGAGTTCGTTTTTGGGATGATGCTTTTTCTCATAGACAGCATCAAATCCAAAACTATTTGTTTTTTGTGATCTGTTTCTGAATGCCACAGATCAAATGGCAGAGCTGCTGCTGATCACATGCCTTTCACTACTTTTTCTCATTCAATATCAAAATTGACAAAAAAGATAACCGAGGAGGCAATTCTGTTTTCAGTTTTTGTGTTGTTTAGTGAGTTTTGTAACGAGTTACAAGTACAGAAACATTCTCAGTACGCTAGATAGGCTTCAGTTTTGGAACCAGGAAAAGGACCTTTGCTGGTGTTTTTGGAAATAGGAACCTGCATCTGTGTGAGTGGTTTGTTATTGCTAGTGCCATCACTCCCTATAACCATTTTGGGTGAGTTTTATTTATCATAAATATTTCACCATCCTTTCAACATTTTGTTATTAGTTCTTTATTCTAATTCTGAATTGATCTTGGTTTAGGAGTTAATTTTCCGTTCGGGATCTATTTCGTTCCACTTATGCTGCTGAGGAACAGATCAAGAGCAGTGAGCAAGCCAGGTTTGATGGCTGATCATAGCTCTCAGCAATCCCCCAATCAAAACTATGCTAAAACTATACCATCTCTATTTGGATCACCAAAATTCAGAGATTTCACCAACAAGTGTCTCTCCTCAGGAACCGAGGCCTTAAGGAGTCCAACCTCTATTCTTGATGCCAGAGCATTATCCCCTTTTGCCTTTGGAAATCCATTCTCAACCCTTCCAAACAAAATATGCCCTCCAAACAGAACCTCCTGGGACAAGCCTGATTCAAAGGGCATTGGTCTTGCTCTTGTTGGTGCTCTCAAAGATGATGATAACCCAATTCATGACAATTATGAGCCCAACAAAGGAAACGTTCTGCTTAGAGTGAAAATCCCTTTTGAGTCTCAGACATGTGCAGGTGATTTTGGAACCAAAACCAAGGATTCAAAAAACTCATCAAGGTCAGGAGTTTGTGCAAAAGATGATTGTGCTTCACCAAGTGTAAGGGCTGTGTCTTGGAGTGAGATGGAGCTTTCGGAGGAATATACATGCGTGATATCTCATGGACCTAACCCAAAAACCACACACATATTCAATAATTGCATTATGGTGGAGACCTTTTATGCTCTTCCCCAAAACCAAAACTCTCATTCTGCAACCTCCGCAAATTTCCTCAGCTTCTGTCACACTTGCAAGAAATATCTTGACCAGACCAAGGACATCTTTATTTATAGGTACACCTTTTTCTTATCCCAACCTTTACATTTTGCATTACTGATGTTTTTATTCTTAGCCTTCTTCTGTGACTCCTCAACCTCAAGACAACAAAACTTGAAAACCTTTAATTATTTACCCTGCCATGTTTTATTCATCAATATCCCAACGTGAAAAATAATAATACTCTTCGATCTTTCCATTTATTTATTGGTCTTGTTTAGTTTAATCCATTTGAACAATATCTTCAAGGTAATGATCTGGTTTATGTTTGTGCAGAGGAGAGAAAGCTTTCTGTAGCAGGGAATGCCGCCACCGAGAAATGGTGCTGGATGGAATAGAAAATTTAGAGTTTGAAAGCAATGGTTTTTATTGACTTCGCTTGTGTGCTTTACATGCACCGTGGCACCAAAGTCCAGCATTTTGAGGAGGATAATAACCGGAAAAACGCACAAAGTCAAATCCAAATTTTCCATTCACCATGATTTTTATTACAAGACTAGGAATAGTAGTAGTAGTAGTAGTAACTAGTTTTTAGTTAGTATTTCATTGTAATCAGCAAAGTCCTTTCTCCTTTTTTTTACCACCCTTTTTGAAGAAATCTTTTGCGTGGTGATTTTCTTTTTTTGCGTCCTCTCCTTGCAAATAGAGATAAGAGAGGATGTTGTAGAGTTGGTTCATTCCAAGTATGACTAATTTGATTGCTTCTTCTGGTTCTGGGGTGAAGCAGACGATGATGTGTGATTGAAAACAGTGCCTTTCTTTTTCTTGTTCCTTTGAGTTTATGATAATGATGGTGCTACCTATTGTCTTAGAAGGGGACCGGTTCATTATTTCTCACAAAGATTCCTCTCTCTCACTCTGCATGTACTCTATTATTTATCATCCTTAGCCTTTGCCCTTCTCTCCCTTCCTTGAGTTGATAAACAATTCAGCAAACCATTATAATAATACGCTACAAAACTGACAATGACACACAAATATACATTTGTTAAAAGTCCTTTTCCTTACCCATTACTTCATTATCCAATTATTTGAATATTAGGTTATCCTTGGAAATTTGATACGTATATCATACAGAACCCCCATTTTTCAAACTTTGGAGTAAAAAGCCGTTTTAAGATCAATTAATTAAACACCCAAATTCTTATTCCACATCCTAACACCTTGGTCCTAATCCATAACAGTAATGCCAACAGATTATAGTCAGAGAACAAAAAAGGTATGAAATAACTGGAGTCATCATTAAAGGAAGGAGCAGAAGTAAATGGAGTTGAAAAGCCAAAAGATTTATCTAACAAAATGAAAAAGGCCAAAAGAGATGAGGTAAAGGTGTCCTAATGTCCTATATATCATAATCTTTAGCCTCTTTCTCTCTTCCCCATTCTCCCTTTCAATAAGTAATTAAATCATTGCCCTTGCACAGTTCTGGTAACTGTAGTTTGGGGCCATATGGATAACTGGATCATAGATACCATTTTAACATTTTCAACATAAATTACTTCATACCTTCTTGTTTAATTTCAACGTTTATGGAATACAAAAAGTTATCTTTTTAAAACTCGTCTTTTAACTTAAGTCTTAACTTGTTTAAACTTCATTATCAAACTAAAATATTCCAAGGGCTATTTCTTCTAAAATTCCCTTGAATATTTGTTAATTAATCATCTTTTTTCGCTGCTCTCACCTAATTAATTTATTTATGTCTACTCCTCACCAATTCTTACAAGAGAGAACAAGCGTTTATTTCATTAATTTCTGGCATCTTTTTTGTTTCTATAAAAAAAATTATTAATTTTGGATATTTAAAAAAATAATAATTAATGCAGGGACAAATAGAAAATAATCCTACTAAATGGAATGAACAAATTGAAAAAAAAAAAAACTTAAATACAAGAATAAAAGGAGTAATTTACATGCCTAAACGAGTAAAACACATTTGGATGCGTATAATTTTGTTGTGGTTACAATTTTATGACAATGGCGTGAGAAATTGTAGATAAAAACGACCATATACAATACTCAACATTTTTTATGCAAATTGTTCTTTTATACTCAACATTTGATATAAACCTTGGACTTATATTCTGGTAATACATGGAATCAAGATTTTATTAAATATAATCTTATATTATTAAGGTGAAATGAGAAATTTGATTGGAGATATATAACTTTATCCTTTTCTTTTAAACCTTGGACTCATCGTGTCCCATGAGAATGATTTAAAAAACGAACAAAATATATATATATATATATATATATATATATATATATATATATATATATATATATATATATATATATATATATATATATATATATATATATAGAATTTCATTAGTGCTTTCTTGGTCATGTGTAGAGGCAGTGGTAAGGAGAACATAGAGGGGCATGCCCCTAACCCCCTCATCAAGATTTGTATTTAAATTACTATATATATAAAAGAACTATGCATATATAGTATAAAATTTATAATCAGAGTGAAAAGTGATACATAAAAACTATGATCTTAGATGATTTCTACAAAGATAATAGAAAGAAAAGTGTAACTATATATAATAGGAAGCAAAGACAAATAATAAATATTAGTGAAGTACGTTTTATGTTAAGTCCCTTTCTTATAGTTATGAGATCATCTACTTATGTCTTATATAAATAATCAAATGAGAGACAATTGTATTGAATATACTTATATATTTCTTCAACATGTAAAAAAAATATTTTTTATTAAATTATTTGTTTTTGTTCATATCAGATTTGAGGCCTCTCTGGTTGTGACTTCGTCTTGATCTAGTAGTGGGTGGTAATCGGGCATAAGCATGTTCATGATCTAATGCAGAGACAGAAACCAGAATTTATGCTTCCCGACCATAAACTGTCACACACGTGTCCTACGGTAAGAAAATGGCAAACATGGTGGTTTTCCATGGAGAAACCGAGCAATAGAAGTAGCACTATAGCATAGATATAGTATTTGTAAACCAGCAACAAACAACAACAACCTTAAATGGCGATGGAATGCAGTGGCTGGTGAAGCATTAATGGAAGAAATTGACGTGTAGAAATGCAGGTGCAGCAGGGTGGCCCGTGTGGAAACTGAAGAACACACACAGTTGAGCAGAGTTGGGACCCAAAGAACTAAAAAGTGCGCGTGCATTAGATGCTCGATGGATGATAATAAAGAACAAACAAAAGGAACCCAAAGATGGCGACTCCTTTGGCATCTTTCAACGTTACAGATGAGAAATATACATCGTTGTGACACCTTTCGGATATATCTCTATGCTATGATATGAAGAAGATAATCTCCACCTATCTTCTGCTACACCTACCCCTTTCATCCAACGCAAGGCAAAATAATTGCTACACAACAAAACTCATCATTTTATAGTGGTGCATCCTCCACAAATAGAAATCAAACCATAAAATGCAACAAAGTAAAAATATTTGAATAAATAAATATCTGTCACTTTATTTTGACTGACTAAAACACATTTTTTTCTCTTGAAATAAAATATCATTTATTTAATGGTTAGTAAACCTTTTTTACTCCTCATCAACACAACTTTGTATGTGGACGACATTGACAATTTAGACTGCATCAAAAAGGAATGGTGGTAGTGGATCATGGAAGGTTTCGTAAGTTAAAGCTAAAGAAGTCAAACGATGATTGGAGGCATATTAGTAAAATGGCGTCAAAACTCTAAAGTTTGGGGTTTGTGGGTCATAGGTAGAGGCTATAGCCTATAGGCATAGGTGGTTGAAGTAAGGTGTGGGTCAAGTTTGTGTAAGTTTAGTAATTATCATTCTTAATTTGAGTGTTTATTTTCATGTTTCTCTTCAATCTTTTTATTATCAAACGCATCAAAATATGATATTTTCAACAGTTTAAGAGATGAACCACATATTTTATATTTTTACAACCATTATTAACCCCAAGTTAATAGATGTTGTCGATCCATACTATATAAACTTTTCTTCGTATTCAGATTTAGTCTTTATTATTATTTTGATTCTAAACCAAACGATTAATTTCTTTTCCTAGGTATGAGTTCTAACTAGATAACTAACTATGAGTCATGAATTTTGATAGGGTGGCTGCAATTAAAAAATTGAATATTGAAGATTTGTTAAATGTGAAAAGTGATTGATGCTGCCTTAACCTACATACGGAGTAGTAATGACGTGGATACATAGGCTTCACGCTATTAAAAGTTATTTAATAAAATACACTGCAATTTATTCAACAATTTATTAGCATTCAAAGTATTAATATTTTCTAGAAAAAATAAATATATCAAATTGTCATTTAACCAATTTTCTCTCCACTTAAGATTCTATCTCATTTCGTGAAATAAGGTGTATAACTTATTCTACACAGTTAGTATACATATGTTTGTGATGAACATAATTGTAAGGGCAGAATTTATTAGAAAATAATGATCATAACTTATCGATGTATATTTATAATTTTAGTTTTAAATTTAATAATCTATATTTATTTATATTCATAATTTTTACTTTTATTTATTTTTTATAAATATTAAAATAAATGATTAAATATAGCAAATAAAAAATATTTTTATTTTTTCATATTTTTATTTTATTCTCCATTATTTTCTCTCATTAAATTCGCTTGACTTAGACTTCACCGGTCCACAAATTTAATAAGAGAAGCATGTCAACAATATACTCCAAAATTGTAACTAAGCATGCCATAAATAAATTATTGAACTAACCCTTTTTTTATCGTCCTTAAATTAAAATAAAATCACGTCAAATTATGTAAAAGGAAGATGTCCCATTGATAAAACTTCGTTGGAGTAACCCTTTAATACCATTTTCACATAAATTTTAAGTAACTAGGTTTTAAAAACTTATTAGATTACTAAATAACCGGAATATAGATCCTAATAAACAAATACTTCAGAATATAAAAACTATATTCTAATTAAAATTCGTTACGCACATGTTATTTTTAGTACTCTCGTGGATTATGGAAAAAAAAAGAGAAAAAAGTACACGTAGGATAAGTTTAAGAAAAATAAAATAAAGATCTGTTGCGTAAAAAATAAAACTAAGAAAAAAATGAACAATTTTTTTTATATTCAAATTATTGAAATAATTAATTTGACTAATTAGATACAACTAATTAAAAGATCTAACCATAAAAGCTAAGCTTCTTCCTACATTTCTTCTTTCTTATTTTTTACATTGAAAAGTCAATTAACTTATGAAAAAGTACATAAAAACAAATTCAAAATATATTTTTATTCTATTTTAGGGAACTTGGGAAGATATTTTTATTCACTAGACTTATATAAAGTATTCCTTATTGAATTTGTTCTCTTCTTTTTTTTTGTCCTCGGCATTGCTCTTGATGTCATATGAAGTACATGAGCATCATAAGAAAACAGAAAAAGTCCTTCAAAATGATGCTTTCAAACGGCATATAATAATACTGACCAGAAACATGTAACTTAATCCCTACTCCAGATAAACCATAGTACGGTATCTAATAGCAAACATTCTAATTTATTTAAGACCACGTAAAGTTCCACCAGTTACAGATACTCAGAAAGAGACATAAGTTACGAACCACAAAGAGATTTAATAAAACAAACATGCAAACGAACTAGCGACCTAGAAGATCATGACCACATCCACATCTTTTGAACAAAACAGCCTCGGTATAGTTTCGCCTCCCTGATTCACATTGAAGCGATTTTTAGTAACTGCACTTTATGGCATGAGAATAACAAAGCAGAAGCACGAGTATCAAGCAATATATTACCTCAAATTCTGGCGTAGTATGATCAACACTCTCCAAGAATAAGCCAGGTGAGACTATGGAAAGAAGCATTAACCAAATATTACAGGTTGTGTGACACAGACTACCCCTATAAACCTATAGCAAAGAGTAGCTTAAGATTATATAACCGAAGCCCTTCCAACTTTTCTTTGTAAAAAACTGAAAAGATGGTAAAGGGACAAACTATGCCCTCTCAGAGGACAACTAAGAAAATAAAACTTTACATACAGATAGAAAGAAGAGATAGCTAAAGAGAGGAGGACCAGTAAGCAAAGTAGTAACTCCAAACTAGTAAACAGTGGATCATACTACAAGATCAGAACATAAGGATGAAAGACTGATAACAAGAAAAAAACATTTGAAAGGGAAAAACGACTACAGGGTTAAGCTCTATAGGCTATTGCAAGTGCAAGGATTCTACAATCTACATTATGTACCTACTAAAACAGGAGACCTAAAAAGAGAAGGTAACAATTCTATCTGCGACGAGTTTATACTATGAACTACAACACACCATGAACTCAGTATTCCTCTTGCATATATATAAACTAATAACTTTCTCCATTTCTATTCCGTGCCACTCCAACCCTTTACCACACCATCCAGCTTCTCACAACCATTACTCCGGCAGCTTCCATCCGTGTCACAAAACAAACCCTGCTTACATTTCCAATCATGAACCCACCACACCCATCATCTATCACCATTGTCAAGGGCAAACCACCACTATACTGAAAGCTATACCCAAACTAAAACTACAAACTTTTATTTGGTCATTCTATACAAACCTAATATAACACTAACCCGACTTCATAGACCAAAAGCACTTATTATTTACAGGAGCCTACTGCTCCTCCAGACTCATTCATCATCCAAGTTAAGATTGAGGATGCGACGCAACGCCTTCGTCGCAGAATCAAAGAGGTCTCTGGCACAAGGAGAAAATTCCCCACGAGGGGAGGAAGGGGCAGAACTAGCATATAACTGCAATTCAAATTCAGGACAAGAACCAGGGAGATCAAGGGACACACTCCTCTTAGGCCTTACAGAAAATTTCGGAATAGGCAAGGAACTGGGTGGTGGAGAATTCGAATATGTAGGTCCAGCCCAAAGTTCAGTGAGCAAAATGCCCCCATCAGAAACATGCTCGCTGAAACTTCTCTCCTTTCTCTGATTGACGGGAACCGGGGCGCTACTGGAAGTAGTTCTGCAACGGGCATTGTTTGTGCTTGAAGGAGTTATCGGCGTTTTGGGTCGTTTAGTTATCGGTGAAGTGTGAGAATTGAGTGGGGTTGGTAGAATACCACACCCCGTTTGGAAAGTTCTGCAATTTATGCCCCTAAAATCTCTTGAAGGTGAAGGGGAACCAAACTCGGCGTGGTCTTGGGATTTCGACCGACTGTAACATTGGTTCCTGTGATGCGCCACAGCAACGAGTGTCTCCATTTGTAACATCAACAATTCCGATTATGTTTTCCGCTTCGTACACTAGATCCCCTCTTTCAATACAACCCAGTACGAGGTTTCAGAAAATAACGGGTCCGAAAACTAACCAAAACGGCGTCGTCACACGGTTAACACCTTAAATCGCTTCCCAACAGGATCGGATCTTCCCAGAAACCAATTGACACAAAAAGTTTCTCAGATTCTGCAAAATTAGAAATAAATACAAAAAAAAAAGTAAAAATTATCAAGGCATGACCATGAAAATGAAAAATAAAATATAAAAAAAAAAACAAAACAAAACCCAAAAGCGAGGGAGGATCGATCTGAAAAGCAATAGGAACATGCAGGGCTATGTATGAATATTTATTTTTTTTATGAACAAGATGAAGGAGATTACCGATTACTGGAGGAGAAAAAGGTTGTGTTGGAACTTAGTATTCTTCTTCTTTTCGGTTGGAGTTGTGGTGGAAATGTGTGACAGTAGCCTTAAAAAGAATGAAAATATGTTGATGAGAAATGAAAAGGAGAAGGAAAGCCAAGGAAGGTTTGAAGTTAGAAGGGGATCTGGAAGAGCAAGAGAAAGAGTGTGAAGAGTGGGATATAATGCACAGTTATGGGTAACAGTGCTTGCTTTTCACAGTAATTACGAGTGTGACATTTTTTTTTGTTTCATTTCTTACTCAGCAACGGACCGATAATGTCATGTTACCATTTTGCCCTTGTGTGGTCTTGATTTGGGAGCTGATGTGTCTTAAATATGCTTGTTTTAATTGTCTAGTCTTACATGTAATATTTTTTTTTTTCAAAATTTTCATTCCGGGATTATACTTTAAAAAATAATTAATGAATTCTTACATTTCAAATTAAATTATTTTGTTAAATTTATAATAATAAAAAATATTATTAATTTTAATTATCATTATTAAACATTAAATATAGATGTAAAAATATCTAATTTTAAAAAAAATGTGATTAAGTTGAATGTATAAAATAAAAAAACAATAATTTATAATTGTTTTTCTAACTTTTCACGTATTATTTCTTAAAAAAAAATTAAAGTGTTAAAAGATAAATAAAGATAGAATAAAATAAATTAAATATCTATTTATATATTACTAATAATATTAAATATGTTTTTATACATTAATAAATAATATTAAAATTTTAAAAATCAAATAAAACTTATTTTTAAATTTATTTTTTATCTTTTATTTAAATTTTTATTTGTATATTTTTAACCATCAATTTGTCCATTATAAAACATCTTTATTTTATTACTTAAATTTAATTAAATAATTTAATTAAGTCAAAATAATAAATATGTTTTATTTTTTAATAAAAAAATAAACGTTACAAAAATCATTATTATTAAGTAAAAATATAACATTTTAAATTAATTCAAATCAAATTTAGTTTAAATATAATTTAATTTAAATTTATCATATATACTAATTTTATCTAAACTAATATATATATAATTTAATTTATGTCTAAATTAAAAAAATTGATCTAATTAAATGGATATAATTTTTCAATCAAATTTGGTTTATTAGATTTTGTCAAGATGTAATGAGAAATATAATTTTACTGTTAAATCTTGACATATAAGATATATTATTTTAAAATTTTATATTAAAAATAAAAATTTTGGATAAATTTTTTAAGATCTATAAAATAAAAAATAAATAAAATTTTTATCTAAACATAAAAAAAAAAGTTAAGATCTTATAAAAATTCTATTACTAAAGAAAAATAAAAAATATTTTATTTTACTTCACCCTGTTAAAATATATAATAATAATAATAATAATAATAATAATAAAAATAATAATAATAATAATAAAAATAATAATAATAATAATAATAATAATAATAATAATAATAATAATAATAATAATGTAACAATCTAAAAAATTTATATAACATAGGGCCTGAAGACACGTCCTAGTACATGTTGCCATTTTCTTCTCAGGTTTGGTTGGTACAGAGACAGGCTACCGCTCAATCAAGGAAAGTAGCATTTACTTTTTCAGTTAAGAGACGTCCTTACTTTATTTTGAATCATCTGAAAATCTGATACACACCTACAAGTTTTTAATGGTATTTATTGATGGTTTGTGTAGGAATAGGATTGTGCCATTCATTTCATTCTGTCTTTTTTTAAGTATCATAAAAAAATTAAGATATAGTATCATAAATAATTTGTATACATTTCTTTATTTTAAATTAAGTTAAAACACTAGAATCCCTATATTTATTTTTATTTTTTTTTACTTTAGTTTTTATATTTATATTTTAATTCCATTTCAGTATTTTTTTTTTAATTATTGATGTGAATTTCAGGTAACTTACCATCTTAGTTGAAGGATTTTGTGATAACAGCGCGTAAGCTAGTGAATGTATCTTTATTACTAAATCTAGTTGCTCTGTTTTTAACCAACTAGACACTTAGTTTGAGTGAAATTTATATGTATAGGAAAATTCCAAAGGGCATAGAAATTTGGAAGGATTGTTATGAATTGCTAGGATTTATAAGATTATGGGTGAAAAAAAATGTGATTAGATTAATTTTTTGTAATTTCTAAAAAGTTTAAATACATTGGAAATTGTATTTTTTTAATATTTAATTTTTTAAATAATTTTTTGGATAAGATATTTTTTAATTTAATTTTTTTATTAAATAAAATATTTTAATTATTATAAAATATACAAATTATCCTACAATTTAATTAGATCTTAATATTTAAGCATCATTCATTGATTGGATTTAGTTAAATTGAGACAAATTGAGTTAGGTCAAATTGAGTCAATCAAGTCAAAATAAATATATTTAGTATAAGTTAGACTATGTGGGATTGAGATAGGACAAATCGGGTTAGATGACTGGTGTTAGATTAAAATAGAACAAAAATGTGTAAGGTAGTTATGATATAAGTTGAGTCAGACCAAGATATAACATATTAAGTTGTAAATGATTGAATCAAGATGAGTCAATTAATCAAAGACAAACTTTGTTAGGACAAAGTAGGCAAGATGGATTAAGGCTAATTTGAACAATTGAGAAAGACATAATTAAAAATAATTTGATCAAGTTGGGTAACATAAAAACAAATTGGGTTACGTAAAATCAGAATAAGTTCAATCATAAGTTGGGATAAGTTGATACCAGATGAACAAAATTGAAAAAAAATTCAATTATTATGAGTTAAATATGGTCAAACATAAATCAGGTTAAATTGTAAAGATCATTAAAGGTTAGATTAAACTATATTAATTTGGTAAAGTTATACCACATTAACCAGGTAAAACTAACTTGATTGGATTAAATCATTTTTATTTATTTATGTGAAGCAATTTTAAAATATTGAGTCAAATTAGATTATTTAGGATGAATTAGCATAAATCCAAGACTTTTTTTCACAGATAATACTATTTAAAAAAAATTCTAAAATAACACATCTGGAATATTATTTACGAAAATAGCACTGTTTACTGTTCATGTTTCTCTCGCTCAAGCGAGAAATGAATCGCTTGAGCAAGAGTACTTGGAACTTAAGGGTTTTTTGGGATTTAAATTCGTTTGAGCGAAAAAATTCTCGCTCAAGCGAGACATCCTTCGCTTGAGCGAGGAGAGGTGAAACTAATGGGTAATCTCGGGTGTTTTTTCGCTCAAGCGATTGGGAATTTCGCTCAAGCGAGCACTGATTGAAATATGTGGTGACCCAAGTTGCATTATGTGGCTAATTGCGTTGAACCTTTAGCTTGTGGTCAATTCTCGCTCAAGCGACGAGTAATTTTGCTTGAGCGAGAAGTGATTGGCTAACTTAAACGCATGTGGGCAATTCTCGCTCAAGCGAGGAATCCATCGCTTGAGCGAGAAAATTTATAATCGATTATAATTTAAACTAATCGATCATAATTTTAAAATAATCGAATATTTAAAATTATGACTTCGATTATTTCTTTCTCGCTCAAGTAAGAAATTCATCGCTTGAGCGAGGAAACCTGAAACTAATGGGTAATCTGTGGTCAATTCTCGCTCAAGCGATGGGTAATTTCGCTCGAACGAGAACTGATTGAAATATGTGGTGACCCAAGTTGCATTATGTGGCTAACTGCGTTAAAGCTTTAGCCTGTGGTCAATTCTCGTTCAAGCGATGACTAATTTCGCTTGAGCGAGAACTGATTGAATTTTGTGGTGACCAAAGTTGCATTATGTGGCTAACTACGTTGAAGCTTTAGCTCTCGCTCAAGCGAGATTTTCATCGCTTGAGCGAGGAAACCTGAAACTATTTATAATCGATTATAAGCTAAACTAATCGATTATAATTTTAAAATAATTGATTATTTTAAATTATGATCGATTATTTTGCGACTTTTTTACATAATTAATAATTTAAAAAAAAATTTCCCAAAACAGACACCTCCCAAGTTTGGATTCCCATGCCTTTTTGACGCACATAAGTCACGAATCCAATGCTTGAGTCACCCACCCAAGTTAGGATTCCAATCTTGGATTCTCTGCATTAGGTTAGACAAAAGCAGAAGCCATGTGAGGGAGTATTGGATTATACAAAAGCAGAAGCACATTTAAAGAGATGCTGACCCACCTACTTTGCTTGGGTTTTGTGTGCGTCAGAAGCCATGTGAGGGCGCCTTGGATTCAAATAATTGAACTTCATTATAAATAGACCACTTTCATTATTTGAAGTTCTCACATTGCACACTCCTAAATCTCTGAAGCTTTTTGCATTTTTTCTTCTTCTTACCTTTAGTCTTCTTTTTGTTCCACACTCCTAAAATGGGTAGTCTACTATTATCCACTATGATGATTCCATGAACCCATGTCCCATGGAGGGAGTTACCTTCAATACTGGGACTGCAAAACTTATTCCTTTAAAGAGAGAAATTTATCTACAAAGGTTGAAGAAGTTGATCAACAGAAAATTAGAGAAAGAACCCCACGGAAATGTAGCAACCATCAATTTTCGTTGCCCAACTAGACTCGG